TTCCCCAAATGTCATTTTTCCGAAATGTCATTTTACCGAACTGCACTTTTGCGAATACTCATTTTTGCGAAAAGCCAATTTTGCGAAATGTCACTTTTGCGAATTGTCATTTTTTCGAAAAGCTATTTTTGCGAATTGTCATTTTTGCGAATCGCCATTTTTACAAATTGTCAATTTTCCGAAAAGTCATTTTTGCGAATCGACATTTTTACGAATTGTCAATTTTCCGAAAAATCATTCTTGCGAATTGTCATTTTTACGAAAAGACATTTTTGTAAAATGTCATTTTTGCGAAGTCATTTTTACGAATTGCCATTTTTGCGAATTGTCATTTTTAAGAAATGTCATTTTTGCGAATTGTCACTTTTGCGAATCGCTATTTTTACGAATCGCCATTTTTACGAATTGTCATTTTTGCGAATAGTCATTTTTGCGAAAAGTTATTTTTACGAATTGTTATTTTTGCGAATTGTCATTTTTGCGAAAAGCTATTTTTACGAACTGTCATTTTTGCGAATCGACATTTTTACGAATTGTCAATTTTCCGAAAAGTCATTTTTGCGAATCGCCATTTTTACGAATTGTCAATTTTTCGAAAAGTCATTTTAGCGAATTGTCATTTTTGCGAAAAATACAATAGTGAACTTATAGACCTACAAGTTTTCTATTGTATTTTTCGCAAAAATGACAATTCGCAAAAATGACTTTTCGGAAATTTGACAATTCGTAAAAATGGCGATTCGCAAAAATGACTTTTCGGAAAATTGACAATTCGTAAAAATGGCGATTCGCAAAAATGACAATTCGCAAAAATGACTTTTCGGAAAATTGACAATTCGTAAAAATGTCGATTCGTAAAAATAACTTTTCGCAAAAATGACTATTCGCAAAAATAACAATTCGTAAAAATGGCGATTCGTAAAAATAGCGATTCGCAAAAGTGACAATTCGCAAAAATGACATTTGGGGCCGTACACATAATACGTCACGCGGCTAGGGGGAGGGAGGGGGTCTGAGAATTGTGACTAAGTGTGACATGGGGGAGGGGGGGGTGAACTCATGTGTTACGTCACAATCTTTTAAATTCAAAGATTATAAGAAATTATATATCTATTATGTACCTGCACTGAGAAAAATAGATATTAAGCCTTATTATCTAGATATTAATGGTCAATATCTGTGACAGTGAACTATGTAAACTTCTTAGATGTGCAAATTTAATATCTAAGATATTGGAAAAAGACTTGTTCAAACATAACCTCACATTTACAGATTATACTTTTTAACATCTGAGATATTAAACCATAACATCTGGATGATATGCATTAGCATCTTTTCTTAATATCTAGTATATTAAGATTTTTAATATCCAGTTTTCTCAGTATGTTTAACATCTATTGGCATATTATTTGTAATATGATAAATAATATATTCTCTTAATTTGAATCAGTTAAAAATCATGGTTTTAACTGACAATCAGTAGTGACTGACTTTTTGCTTCTGAATCAGTTAAAAATAACTGAAAAATTATCCACAAAACACCGAAATTTTTCTAAATATTGTATATTAAAGATTTGCTTGCAAAATTCGAAAAATTTACTTGCAAAGTTTATTTTAAAATTGTGTAAAGATTTAAATTTCTCACTCCAATAAATGTCTATCGTCAAATTTTCTTAAAAAAATAGCTTGAAACTTTCCTGAACATTTGAATTGCATTTTCGACTATACTTTCGTGAAAATTTTCCTGAAAATTTTACTTAAATTTTCAGGAAAGTTTCGCGCTAAACATTCATTGAAGTGGGATATTTAAATCTTTACACAATTTTCACTAAACTTTGCATTTAAATATTTCGAAGCTTGCAAGTAAATCTTTAGTAATAGGAAAGTTTCGGTGCTATGTAGGTATAGTTAAACGTGACTAATTGGATCAATCAAAAACAATTGTATTGAAACATCAGTTATTTTCAACTAATTGTCAGAAAAAAATATTACTATTTGAATTAGTGACTGACTTTTTGCTTCTAAATCAGGTATTTTTAACTGATTCAATAATTTAGAGTGTAAGATATAATATATATTGTCCAATGTATAACATTTACAGTAAAATTTACGTGTGTGACGTGACGTAGGGGGGAGGGGGGGTTCAAGATTTGTGACGAAGTGTGACATAGGGGGAGGGAGGGGTTAAAAATGGTCAAAAATCGCGTGACGTATTATGTGTACGGCCCCTTTCTTAAAAATGACAATTCGCAAAAATGGCAATTCGTAAAAATTACTTTTCGCAAAAAGGGCTTTTCGTAAAAATGACATTTCACAAAAATGTCTTTTCGTAAAAATGACAATTCGCAAAAATGAGTTTTCGAAAAATTGACAAATCGTAAAAATGGCGATTCGCAAAAATGACTTTTCGGAAAATTGACAATTCGTAAAAATGGCCATTCGCAAAAATGACAATTCGCAAAAATAGCTTTTCGCAAAAATGACAATTCGCAAAAGTGACATTTCGCAAAATTGGCTTTTCGCAAAAATGACTATTCGCAAAAGTGCAGTTCGGTAAAATGACATTTCGGAAAAATGACATTTGGGGAATAATCATGCGTCCCAACAACAGCTGTGACGTTGCTTTCAACTTTTAAAAACAAAAGTCAATTAATATTTATTTACATGGTTATTTATCAAGAAAATTCATCTTCCTATTGTAAATCATTAAAAAACAATATTCATCTAATAAAAACTTGATTTAAAAAATTATTTTGAAATATAATTGAATTTTTGAATAATTAATTCTTCCTCAAAATTTGGAAAAAATGATAATAAAAAATATTTTACATTCAAGTTGATAATTATTTTTGATCAATTTCATTCTATGATTAATTAACAAAAATTGTTAAAAATATGTTTTATCTTATGCATTAATCTTGAGAGATTAAAATTAATGTATACAAACATATACACAAACATAAAAATAAAGAAAGTTCATAAAATTTAAAGTAAATGCATTATTTGAAATAAAAAAGCAATTTGAATTTACCCGCCTTTTTTCAACCAATAAAAGTACTTGTAGCTTAAGGGCAAGATTTTTTTTTCTCTTAACGATTGGTAGTTTAGCTCAGTTGGTTAGGTTATTGCGTTTGCGTCCGTCGAACCCGTGTTCGATCCCCGGTACCCCCAAATTTATTTTCAAAAAAAAACATATTTTCGTATTTGTTAAGGTCATGTTATTCAGTGGTCACGTGCCCCATATACTTGACTATGGAAAAACTTTACACTGAATAACATGACCTTAAGGCCAACGCAGAATAGATCTGTAACCGTAAGCGTAAGAATGAGTTAGAGAAGGATAAACAATATACCTATCCTTCTCTAACTCATTCTTACGGTTGCGCCTACGATTGCGGTTCCGGTTACAGATCTATTCTGCGTTGGCCTTTAGGTTCTTGAAAAATGGTGAGGTTAAATATGAGATTCGAAACTCAAGAAATAAATTTTTTCATATTTTTTAAAAATAAGTACTTATCAAATTAAACTATGTTAGTTAACATTTATTTTAGGGAAAATTTCCTTATAATTCTTTAGGATTCTTTACGAATATAAGTTTAGAGAAAACTACAAAATAACACACACACGCCTATGTAATGAAACTTCGTAATCAACAAATTTGTTAAGCTACTTCAATTCAGATTTGTATATAGTAACCCATTTATGGTCCCCATGGACTGCGGGTAAGAAGTGTAAATAAATAAATAAATTAATTAATTAAATTCTTTTGAAGAATTTTTTTTAAATAATGGAGTTTTTTGAATAATTTTAATTTGACAATTTTGAAAGTAATTGAATTAAACAAAGAATTGTCTTCAAATTTCTAAAATAATTGTGTGTGAATTTCTTAGAAGAATTTTATTTTTTATAAAAAATAATTTAATTATTGCGATGAATTTTACTATTACTTATAAAAATAATTCAATGGTTTCGAAGGATTTATTAAAATTTTAGAAAATAATTGGATTCTTTCAAAAAATTTTATTAAAAATTTTTAAAAAATTGGACTGTTTCATAGGATTTATTAGAATTTTAGGAAATAATTGAATTTTTTTGAAAAATATTAAAAATTGAACAAATTTTAATTCTTTTATGAAATTTTATTAAAAGTAATTGAATTTTTGCAAAGAATTTTATTAGATACTTATCAAATTAATTGAATTTTTTCAAAAAAATTTACTATTTATAAGAATGATTGCATTCTTCCGTAGAATGTTATTATTAATAAAAATAATTGAATTCTTGAATAATTTAATTCAGAAATTAAAATTTTTGAAAATATAAACAATAATAATAAAAAATTATGTACTTAATAAGTGATTTTTTAAAATTTTGATTATGAAATTATTCAAAAATTCATATTTGAAAATAAAAAACGTTTGTAATTTGCATACCTAATAAAAATAGAATATCACGATTCGCTCACTAACGCGCATAACATTTGCTATAGCATATAAAATAAAATGTAAATTAATAAAACATTTTAAAAAATTAAAATAAATAATAATAATTTTACAATAAAAATAGAAAGTTGAGAATATTTTGTAAACAATTTATTATCTTTTATTTAAAATAAGTAATTTGTCACTTATCATTAAAACTTAACGATTAAACGTAATATAAACACATTTTATCTTGTAAACAGCAAATAATGTTATATATAGATATATACTCAGCATATATGTATATTAAAAATCTGCACAACTCAATTGAATATTAATATAGATCTTCGGAAGCATAATAATCATTTTCTTATCGAACGACTCGTTTAATTGCGGATGTGTCTTCACAGGGAACCAGTGGTGGATATATATTTTTTTCCTCTCATCAACAGTAAATAAAGTCAATAAAATATTTCCCTTTTCTTTACACATATTATATATAAATATAGATAAATTTCAAATTAACATTTTTAATAAATTACTGTTTACATTAAAAAATGTAAATTGTATACAAAAAAATTGTAATTCAGTTACTTTTTTTATTAAATATTAAATAAATAAATCATTTTTTTTAAATATAATAAAATTATTTTCTTACTAAAAATAATTTAATTAGGTACTGTTTTTTTTTAAATTTCTTGTAATATTGAAAACGTACATTTTATACTATTGCGAAAAAGTAACTTAGGTGCAAACTCTCGTTGAGGGAACTTCGGATTGTGCTTGGAGTTTAGATTAGATTAGAATATGAAAAATATACTTTTTGTATCATTAAAAAAGCTTAATATTTGTAATTTCAAAAAATATAAACTTTAAAAAAATGAAGTAAAATATTTCTGTAAGAGTATTTGAAAAAAATTTCCATAAATTCAAAATTGTTTTGGTAACATCTTTCAGCCGGTAGTATATTTTTCCTTGTTTTGAAACAAAAACGTAGGAAAAATAAAATTTTAAAAATAGTTCTCTTTCTCTTTTTGTTTCACATCGGTTAAAAATTCAGATTTTATTTTTCAAATCCACCCTGTTATTTTTCTTTTTTTGTAATTCAGTCTACTCATTCCCTGTAATTATCTAGTATCCGTGGAACTTTTTGACACAATAAAATTTTCTATTCTTCGTTAAAGTTTTGTTTCTTCTTTTTTTCTAATATTTTATAGCGCCTAGACATTGAGGCAAATTTCTATGTGCCAAATAACTGGCAATAAATGCATGTTTCATTTGTCTATTTGCACCTTTTTTCTATATATCTTTCGTGATATTTATTTTTCTCTTTTTTTTTGTTTTGCTTATTTATTTGTGTTTTGGCTTTTATAATATTTTTTCTCTTTTTTTTCGATGATTTATTGTTCGTCGGATGAAAAAGTCGTGATTGGTGTTTCGAAAATGTTGTGTGACGAAACTAAAGAGGGAAGACAATAATAAATTTGCAAACTTTTTTTGATTCGATTGTTTTTTCACTTTTTTTAGGTTTTTTTTCTTTGTTTTTTCCTTTTCTTGAAAAGTGATGATTTGGGAAAAATGTATGAGTGATTGTTCCTTTCTTTTTTATCTTTCTTGCTTGTTTTTTTATGCTTAAAAATTACACATTAATTAGCCTAGAGCAATTGACTTTATAGAGGAATCTTTTTTTGCACAGCACAGAGCACTGAAGTTATTATTATTAACGACAGTTTTTCAGTAAGTCTTTTTGACGAAGAAGTAATTTTTGGAGCTGGAATTACTTGCACTAAAACAAGTAAATTATGTATGATTATTAATTGATTCTTAAAAATTAGTATAAGTCAAAAATGTTTAATTTAATTTGGAAAATTCGGTAGTTTAGTTATATTTCAATTTCAGGCTTAGTACTCGATAATTAATTTTTAAAAAGTAGCAAAAAGTATTTTTAAAACTGAAAAAAGTAGTAAACAAGTAGCTATCGAAACTTAGCTATCCTCACTTGCGGCCACCCTGCTATTTATTGTTCCACAGGAATTAAAATATTTTAAATGATTTCAATGCAAAACCATTTTAAAATTTAACGATTTCTAAAAATTACAACTTTAATTCTTCCAAAATTCAATCATTTTTTTGTTGGAATATTTAAATAAAATTATTCAAAACTTCAATCATTTTATTTCAAAATAAAAATTTAAATAATATTACAGTTTTACAACAATTAAAATTTTCAAAGGTTTTAATTAATATGAAACCTTTTCAAAATTCAATTATTTCTAAAAATTCACGCTTCAATGCTTTTAATATTCAATTATTATCTAAAATTTTAACTGAAATTCAATTCTACATTAATTCTTATTAGAAAGTTTTATGAGAATTCAATTATTTAAATACAAAAATAATAAATTTATTGAATAATTGAATTCTTTACAAGAATTTTAATAAAATTTTCAAGAATAATTCTATTTTTTGAAGAACTTATTTAAAATTGTATTTAAATTTAATTGAAATTAAGGTATTAGTCGCGTAAAATGGTTTTCGTCAGATTTTTTTCAAATTTTGCATACTTATTCCTGAAGTATTTATCTACAGAATGAGACCAATTTCATTAATTTTGACCATTTCAAAGCTTTAAAAAATGAATTCAAAGTTCATACATTTTGCATGGAGGGAGCACCCAATGCATGTATTAATTTTGTTTAATAATTATTTATATGATAACTAATCGTCAGATTTTGAAATAAAACTACCAAAGTATTCAATTAGATGAAACAAATGAATAGAAAAAACATTTTTTGACCGCACCAAACTATAAATATATTGACAGAAAGTTAAAAAAATAACTAAATTATACGAATTTTCATACGAACGAATAGAGTAGGAAGTTAAACTGTCTCTCTCACTCTCACTGCCCCACTCCAGTAAGCGGCCCGGTAAACTTTTGGCCAGAGCCAGCAGCGCGACTACTACCTTAATTAAATTATGAAAATAATAGATAAAAATAATTTTTTTATTATGTATAAAAATTATTTAAAAATGTATAAAATTACAGATTCAATTGTTTTGAAAAAAATTTAAGTTCATACGAGGAATTTAATTATAACTCTACTGAAAATAATTGAATTCTTCTAAAGAGTTTATCACAATTGAGCTGCAGGATCAAAGAAGGGCACAAACCAGTGTAATTTAAGTGGGTTATGTGCCCTTCTTTGATTCGGCAGCTCAATTTTTAAGTATAAATAAATTCTATCAACTTTTGTAAAACTTTTTAAAAGTTTTGAATTTTTTTTTGAATTTTTCCAAAGAATTTTATAACTCATGAAAATAATTGAATTCTTGCTACGAATTTTATAAATTTCTTTTTAAATAATTAAATTCTTTTGGTAAATTTAATGGAAATAGTACGAAGCCTGCAATTCTTAAGTAAACGATTTTGTCTATTAATTTTAATCTTCTCTTGTATAAATTTATGTCAATCAATCAATTTTGTCTGCGAGTTAAATAATTTCATTGCTCGATTAATATTTGATGGGATTGGAAATTTTAAATTTGATTAATTAATCAAATAACTTACCAATTTCAGTAGCAAACCTTTCGTCGGCAAATTTTTCGTACTGATGATATTGTGGAATAGTACCTCGACAACTTATCTCTAAATCATCATTTTCATTAATTAATAATTCGGTTATCTTTGTTTTTAAGTACGTACTGGTTGATATTAAATTATTATTATGATGTTGGTATGGATACGAGATGACTTCATTAAATTTTGCCTGAAAAAATTATTTTAATATTAATGACATTTTTTTCCTTTATTTATTTATTTATTTATTTATATTAAAAAAAATATTTTTCATGAAATAAATATTTTACCAATATTTAATTACCTGCTTTTTATTAATATACCACGTTAAATGTGGAGCTGGATGTGCAGGCGAAGAAGAACAATTTCCTTCTAAAAATTCTCCGACGACATAAATTGTCTTATCTAAAGTTATTACTGGTGGTCCAGTTTGTGGTACTGAAAAATATTAAAATCATTATTCTGTGGATTTTTAGTCGTGATTAATTTTTTTTCTCAATTAGAAAACTAATTAATTAATAAAAAAATATCTGCTTCATTAAATAATCATACCTATTACTTCTAATTTTTCTTGTTTAGATTCTGCTTCAAAAATTGGAGATAAAGTAGAAACTTCGCAGGAATAAAGTCCAGAATCCAAGAATGTGACCTTTTTTAATGTGATTGTCTTGCCATCCGACGAATGCTAAAGTGAAAATCGATAAATGAAGATTATTTAAAAATGCAATGTTGAATATTTCAAAATAAAGTGAAAGAAGAACAATTTTATATTAAAATTTTAAAAAGTATGTATGTGCAATAATAAAAATAATAATAACAATAAAATAATAAAAATGAAGTGATAATATTAATTAATAATAAAAATTCTAATTTCGATAAAAATTTTATGACAGAAATGAAAACAAATTTAAAAACTGTTTCTGAATAAAAAAAAATTGAAACTGGCTAATCAATGAATTATTTATTCAAACTGAAACATATGTACAATTAATAAAAATATATTGATTAAATCAGAAACACCTGAAAACTTAAATGTCACGAAGAAAAGTTTAGATTACACTTCACTAAAAAAACTAGCGGAAAGTGTTATAAAAATAGTCACCCTTTATTTTCCACAGACCTACTTACTTTTTTTTCTAAATGGAGAATAAGAGAAACTTTAATAAAACTTTAACTCAGTTTACTTAAAAGTTCATTATTCTTTTAAGATTCCGCAACTAAATGTTATTTTAAATTGTTTAAGTATTACTAAGTTATTCTTTAATACATTTTTTTCTAGGTCATAGACCACACAGCAATTAAAAAATTAAAAATTAAAATAAATTTTTTAAACACTTGAATGATTAAAATTCATTAGAATAAAAAATTTTCAGAAAATTGATTAAAAAATTGAGAATCTATTATAGAGGAAAAATTTGATTCAATACAAATTTAATAAAATGAAAAATTCTGTTCTTAAAATAACAATATTTTTTATAAAAATTTGGGTAATAATTGAAACCTCCTCAAAGAAGCAAAATTTAACAAATTTAAAAAAAAATTGGAACTAAAATTTTCCGAGAAATGAAGTTTTTTAAAAGTTATCATTGAAGTTACACAAAATTAAATTTTCCATTAAAACTTTATGAAATATTATTTTTTAAAAATTTTATTTCAACTCTTACAATATTCAATAATTTTCTCGAATTTTTAACTAAAATTCCTTTATAAAATTATTATTTTTAATAATTTTGAGAAAGTTATTCAAAAGAGTTTAATTATTAAAAAAAAGAATGTAACATTACACGTGATCTTGTCTATTCAACAGTTTTTTAATTAAATTGTATAAGGTATTCAAAAATTAAACTAATTTGGAAAATTCTTTAAAAAATTGAAAGTTTCAGAAATTTTATTTTTGAAACCTTTCGAAACATAAAATACATTATTTATTTAATAATAATTCCATTATTATTGCAGAAAGCTATATTTCTATAATTTTTAAGACAGAATTTTACATGTCAGAAGTTTTCTGTAAGCGAAATTTCTTTTCTGAGAATTTTTATTTACTACGATTTTTATTTAGACGAATTTTCCTAGTACAACATTTTTTCACAATAAAAATTCTATTTGGTAGAATTTACATTACGTCGAGTTTTAATTTATCGAAATTTTCATTCCCTAGAATTTTTCTTGAGCAGAATGTCATTTAGACGAATTTTTAATAGAAATAAAAAATATTAGAAAGAATTCTTTCTTAGCCGAATTTTTATTACTCCGAAACATTATTTAACAGAAGTTCCATATTTGAGCAATTTTCTATATTAGATAAATTTCACTTTAATAGAATTTGAATAGACAAAAATTGAATATGAATTCAGGAAATTGAATATTTTTTAGTACTTATGATGAAATTTCCTGACTTAATTAATAATTAATGAATAATTTCCTGAATTGTTTATTTTAAAAAATACTTTTTAATAAGAAATTTCAACATTTCTGGCCAAGAAATAAATTCCCTGTCATTTCCCTGTTCAGCTGTCATCCTTTAAATTCTAAAAAAAATGAAAATTTCGATAAATTAAAACTAGACGTAATGTAAATTCTGTAAAATAAAATTTTGATTATGAAAAAATTTTGTACTGGGAAAATTCGTCTAAATAAAAATTCGCATAAAGGAAATTTCGGTTAAAGAAAACTTGAAGAATTAAAAATTCTGTCTTTAAAAAATTATAGAACATAAATTAAAAACGAATGAAACGAATGTATATACAAACCTCAAGATTGGGATTTTCTTTCGTCAACATAAACGGTGGATTTCGATCGCTCATATACTCGAGTATTTTTTTATTATCCTTGAGAAATTCCACCTTACGAAGATTGCTTTCATCAGGTAAACTGTGATTGCAGATCAAAGTTGCATCAGTGTGATATTCTACATAATGCGGCGCAACAAGCTGTACATGTAGCGTACAAGTTGCATCTGTAAATTAAAAATCGATAATAATTAAACTCTTGGCCCAAATTAATATTTATTAATAAGTAAAATATTAAACTTTTAATAATATAATTGACATCGAAATCTTCATTTTATCTCGTATTTTGTACCTATAATAAATAAATGTTTTAAAATCAAGAATAATTAAGAAATCACGGTTTTATTAATATTTATAAAATAGTATTTTTTTCTATGAGGTTGTTTTCTCTTGTTATTTATCATTATGTTGAAATAATTAATCAAGTCACGCAAAAGAAAAAATTATGAATCTAGACTAAGTCTAGACTTACGATACAATCTTGTTAAAAATTGTTCCACTTTCTTTCACGTCATTTCAATTAATTTTTCTACGTGACTTTTAAAAAAAAAAAATAGTTCATCACCAAAAAGAAATTTTAACAAGAATTTCCATATTACAAACAAAAAGTAATGTCTTAGAATAAATTAATATTAATAAATTAGTATTAATAATATTATTGAAATAAAAAATATTTCTTAAAATAAAAAGTGATAATTTCTTATTCTAATTAATTAATTAAAAAGAATTTTATTTATTTGAAAATTGAGAATTTGATGAGAAGTGAGAAAAGAATATTTGAATTATAGTCTCAAACAAACTGTGCTCTCTTGTTTTATTTATAAATAATTGTATTATAAGTAGAATTAAATTTAAAATTGATTGAAAAAAAAGAAAAACAAGAAAGTGAACGAACCCATCAAGGGTTGTTAATAAATTGCAAGTGTGAAGAGTCCTTTATCATTAAATGATGTGAGCCACCCTGTTGCTGGGAGGCGTTACTATGTATCGATTACAGAAATCGTGTTACTTGGTCATAAATATTGATATAACTCTATAAAAAAAATTTTTTTTTACAGGCCGACTTATATCTTAAAAAGGGAGAAAATATTACAGTATTTGAGTTTTCACATATAAATTAAAAAAAAGAAGAGAAGAAAACGATGGAATTTATACACTAAATCTATAAAACAAAATACTAGAGGTGTGAAAAAAGCTCGAAACCCGAAGCTCGAGCGGGTATTTTCGAGCTTTTCATTTTTCGAGCCGAGCCGAGCCTATTCAGTTCGAGCTCGAGCCGAGCCGAGCCGAGCTTTATAAAAAGCTCGAATAATTTCGGGTACTCGAATTTTTCGGGTACCCGAAACTTTCGGGTACTCGAAATTTTCGAGTACTCAATTTGATTCGAGCCCTTGAGAAAATCCAAAATTTTCTACATTAATTTTTAATTAAATTTTTTTTTTTCAAAAAAAAAAATTTTTTAATTTAAAAGCTCGAATTAAATCGAGTACTCGAAAATTTCGGTTACCCGAATTCATTCGAGTACCCGAAATATTCGAGTACTCGAGTGAATTCGGGTACCCGAATGTTTCGGGTACTCGAGTGAATTCGGGTACCCGAATGTTTCGGGTACTCGAAAATTTCGGGTACCCGATACATCGAGCCCGGCTCGGGCTCGGCTCGGCTCGACTCGAAAAAATTGCGGCCCGGCTCGGCTTTTCGAGCTTTTTGCACACCTCTACAAAATACTAATAATAAATAACGGAAAATAAAAATAAAATTCATTAATACAGATTATCACAGGTCGACAAAATTTTGGGGAATCTCAGAACCAAGAACCGGACAATACTTTTCCGAAGGTTTTTGACGTGCTGAATCCGAATCTGACCTCAGAATTGCCCCATCACGTCAGGTTTTTGAGATATTCTAACCTAAAAGTGTCAAAAACACGTTTTTTGGGCATTTTTGAAGTCCTGTACAATCAAGAGAAAATTTTTTTTCTAAAAGTTATTTACGGCATCTGAAAGTACTATTCTTCACCTTTAAAAAGCCTTTTGAAACTTGAAAAAATCTTTATTTTTCACTGAGATATCGTCATTTGAAGTTTTTGAATCTGCCCAGTAAGAAGTAAGGAATTAATAATTCGAAATTTTTAATTTTTTTGAATTTCGTTTCTGACCAATTCTTTTTATTTTCATTCGCAGAAGCCAAAAAGAAGCTAAGTAAACTTAGCTTCTTTTTAAATAAAAAAATATTTTGAATACCGTTTTAATATTTTAAGCGGAAAAAAAATTTAGCGGTTCGAAGATTTGAACCCTCAAGTTTCATTGTCGGAGACAAACAGCTTGTCCGCTCAGCTATTTAAACTGTACTATGACTACCGAATTTTAGAAGCACTTATCTGAAAGTGTTGCAAACTTCAAAGGAATTAAAAAATTACAAAATATTAAAACGGAATAGACAGGAATTGAACTTTCCGAATATGACACAGTATTTCGGAATTCACAAAAATTCAAAAATTAAAGAAATATTAAAACGGAATTGATTGGAATTCACTTTCAAGAAATCTTTGCCTCAAAAAGGAATACATAGGGATTGGACAGAAACGGAATTCAAAAAAATTGATAATTTAACATTTTCTGTAAAAAGTTAAGAATGTTTAATTCTTCTCAATTCCTTACTTCTTACTGGGTGGTCAGTATACGAATATTGAAAAAAAACTTCAAATGGCGATATCTCAGTAAAAAATAAAGATTTCTTTAAGATTCAAAAGGCTTTTTAAAGGGGAAGAATAGTACTTTCAGATGCCGTAAATAACTTTTAGAAAAAAAATTTTCTCTTGATTGTACAGGACTTCAAAAATGCCCAAAAACGTGCTTTTGATACTTTTAGGTTAGAATATCTCAAAAACCTGACGTGATGGGGCAATTCTGAGGTCAGATTCGGATTCAGCACGTCAAAAACCTTCGGAAAAGTATTGTCCGGTTCTTGGTTCTGAGATTCGCCAAAATTTTGTCCTGTGTTTTTAATTTATTGCATAGATTATTATTATTATTCTTTTATTATCTTTTATTTTGTATTGATGACGAGAGTCAGTATAAATGTATTGATTAAAGATATTTTTAAATTAAGTTAAAATAAAGCATTTATATGTGGACGTATACATGAAAAGGGCCCATTTTGGCTTATCTACATGAGCGAATTCCTTGAAAAATTTGGAAAATTTTGAGTGGTCATAGAACTTTTTTGGTAAAAAATTCGATGAGTTACAGAATTTCAAAGTTTAGAATGCCAAATTTCATTTTGAGAAGTTATTCAGATAAGAATTGTTATCAGTCCAGAGCACCTTAAAGATGAAAAATCAAGAGTTTTTAAATTTTCCCACACCTCCATTTTCAAAATACGGATTACTTTTGCAAATGACCGACAAAATAAGCCCTTTTCATTTTTCTGAAGAATCAATGAAATCAAACAGTTAAATTATCGATAAATTAATGAAAACCGCATGATTCGACTTGTCAAAACATGTAGATTGATATTAAAAAATAAAAAAAATGGAGATTTTGCTCCAAAATTACTAAATTGCGATTATCTCGAAAACTAGAACCGACAAAATGGGCCCTTTTCATGTGGACGTACACATATTTTGAATTAAGATTTTTCCATAACCCCTTTTTTATTTCAATATGAAAAGAATATTTATAAATTTTATATTTATTATTCTGCAATCAAGAAGTAAAAAAATATATTTTTCTCAAATAGCTATACAAAAAAACGATTAGGTATATTGTTAATAATAAATCGTAATTAAAATAATATTATGTTAACGAATTGTCATAAAATTAGTCTAAAGTATTAAATTATTTTTAAAAATTTTGATACAATCGTTTATAAGAATTCATTTATTTTTATTACAATTTTAACTAAATTCTTGGAAAGAATTTAAATTTTAATTAAATTCGTCCATTAAATTTTCTTCGAAACAATGGAATTTGTATTTTTACAAATTTAGTATGTTCTATTTTATTATTTTCATAAATAATAAAGTACTTCGTAGCCGCAAGAATTGAATTATTTCCAGAAATTTTGAAAAATTGTTTATACAAATTCAATTATTTTAAATACAAGTTTAGTAACATTTCTTTTAACAGAAATGGATTATTTTCAAAAATTTTAATAAAATTCTGTAGATGAATATTCAATTAATTTCAGTACAATTTTAATTAAATTCCTTGAACGAATTTAATTATTTTCAAAAATTTTAATAAAATTCATCAAATAAATAAATCTGAATTAAAAAATTGTATTTATTAGAACAAAAGTGATAATTATAAAAGTTCTGAAAATTAATTTTTATATTTTAACTTCAAATTGCGAACAGAATACCGTAATACATATAACAATATTATTAATACAGATTTCATCAAAATTTAATAAACCAAAATAACTATTGATTCAAATATATATTGTTGGTACGAAAAAAAATTTAATCGGTTGATTATTTGTATAAAAATAAATTTTCTCTTTCTTTCTTTCATCACCGAAAAGATAAATTAAAGCAGAAACAATAAAAATGTCAAGTAATAATTAATGAATGAATGAGATGAAAAATCCTAAACGTAACAAATACTGAGAAAACTGGAGTATTGGACTAAACATCTGCAGGGAAAAATCGTTCATATTTGAGAGTTAGCTATTGGATAGCAATATAAATAATCAAATACACCATTGGCAGATATTCGTGCCATTTCTCTTGGAGGGAAAATGAGTTTATAACAGAGGGACAAATTAACCATCTTGAGAAATCCCTTCCTTATCCGGCGCAAAATGAATAAATATGGCAACCTAACCCCTAAATAAATACATAAAATCACGAAGTAGTATAAGGAGACCTAAAGGCCTTTCTCCAATAGGTTTTAAAAAGTGTGCGAATGACTGCGTTGCGTTTATTTTAGCATGTGTTGCTATAGCAACCGACGCAGACGCAGTCAGATATCAGTTTACATTTAATGAGTCTTTAAATTCTCTTCATCACAAGAACAGCTTACTTAAAGCTTTGGCTTTTTAATTAATGCTTTATTAATTATTTCTGATTTTCGCTTGTTAATATTTGAACTTAATTTGTCCATCGTGTCTCTTTTTTCTTTTTCTTCTTTTCGAAGTTTTTCTAAGCCAGAATACATCTCTT